TAAATGGAGGTTATTATTCCCCTTCATGCTAAGCTGTGAAAATGTATCAAAAAGCATTTGCTTCTTGTCTCAGCTCCAATGCTGTTTTCCCCAAGCAACAAAGGGACTCATCTTATTGAGAAGGCAGCCTTAATCCCACTTGTGCGATAGCCTCAATTTCCTGAGCATCCTCTAGCTTTCCTTACCTGCAGGCACAGCTTCGTCATTGTAGAAGTAGTAGGCGCGCAGAGAGACGAGGAGCCTCGCTGCCGCCATGGTCAGTTCTGTGCACAGGCACGGGAGTCGATTGTTAAACCCAATTAAGCCCTGTCATGCCAAGTGCTAAATAGGGGAGGGTCATCATCTGATTTTTGTCATATGCCACCTGCTTGAGTGAGGAGCCAAGCACCGCCGTCCTCCCACCAGCAGCGATTTGTGTCAGACTATGAACTGGGGTGCACAGGTTGAGTTGTTGCAGATACTGTCTTTAGTATTACAGGGTCCAGTTGGATTTTCTTCTCCTTGGCCCTTGCCAATGTGAAGATGTGGGATCACACTGGAAATCTGGGTGCAGCATGTGTCTCAGTCTTTCTATACATTTCTTTTTTTGCAAGAACCTTCTGATAAAGGAATAGCAGAATGTCCCAGAAATCCTCTTTTATTAGCAAAAGGCACCATTCTTGATTTGCATATGCTGAAGCTGCATATGTTGTCTGGGTCTCGGCAAGGGCAAGCAGCACTTAGGTCATTCACTCAAAACCGCCTGCCTGTAGTGTGTAAAAGTCACAGCTTTAGATCCTGAGGTCCTCTAATACAAAATGCTTTTTCCTCTCCCCCCCCCCCCCCCATCTTATTTTTAGCCTTAGTAATTGTTACCTGCTTGTCTAAGTGTCCTGGCAGGGTGAGTGGGCATGAATTTCTTCTTGTCCATCTGGGTCCCCTGCGTGATTTCCTGTACCTGTCAGGACTTGGGTGGCGAGGTGACAGAGCACTCAGCTGTGCAGTCCCTGTTGGGGACCCTTGCAGTTAGACAAGCTCACAGAACCGATACGATAGGAGGAAAAGGATTGATGGGCTCCTTTGTGGTGTTACTCCAAATGCATCATCCACCTCTTTTTTAAGGCTCCAGCCAAACAAATAGAAGCTGTTTAACAGCCCATGTACCAGAATTTCCTGTCCCTACAGAAAGAAAGCAACAGCCAGGAGGAATCTGGCATCTGAAAGATGTTTTCACAGTATCTATCAGTGATGAAAATGGCCAGACCAGTAGGACTGGAGAGGCAAAGTTCTCTATCGTAAATTTACTCTCTCACCACTATTATCTTTTCTATAATCTAAAACCACAATTGCTAAGGCCAAGTTCATTCAGATCTCAAAAACCCTGCGCTGAGACACCATAGAGAATGGCAGGGTGTAGTGATAAGAAACTCTGACTTCAGGCATTTGGCTGAGACCCTTCTCGTTCCTTTCCCACTGACTCTAGACAGCCTCCTAGGACTGTTGCTTTCAGTTGCTGTTTACCTGGGGCTGCCCTAGGATGGGTTATGTGAGAGGAAGACTCCATCTGTCCTGCCCAAGCCCCAGGTTTTGAATGAACAGACTGAGGAAACCAGTAAGTTGGCACTGGTTTGAAATACTTTTTTTTTTTTTTTTCTCCCTTCCTCCTCACAGCTGCAAAGACTGGGAAAGGGCGACATCCAAGGCAGTCTCAGGGGAAGAAGCACACTCTAGAAGGTAGATTTAGTCACCTTCACTCCAAGGTTCCTGAACCTCCCAAGTTCACCATGCCCAGGGTCTTCGGTCCTTTTCCAGAAGTCGTGAATAAGCAGGTTTGTCAGTAGGAGCAATCTGACTGTAAGATGTGGGAGCCTGCGCTTCTACCACACCCACCAGGCATGAGTCCTCCGGGCCCTCTGCAGTCTGTGCTGCCCTCACCGGAGCACAGTATGTGAAATATCTTTCTCAGGCTGCAGGACTTGATTACAAACTTTGCTCTGAGAATTTGCCCAGAAACAAAGACTAGATTTGCCAAATAGGAAGTCGCTTTTATTTGCTTTGGGTAACTCCAGCCCCACTTTCAGAGGAGTGGCAGAAAAATCCATTATAAGGCACTCTCAGCTCCTCTGTCCAAACCTCTTGAGCTTATCCTGGTAGGAACAGCTGTAAGAAAAAGGGAAGAGTGTAAGCTGTTGTTTCTGCTCATGTCATGGTAAAAAACCGTCCTTGTGCTGTTGTCTGATGTGTACTTTTGCCACCCATAGGTGGACAGAGCTACGACTTCAAGCCCTGATCTAAAATACTGGTGGACTGGTCTAACAACAGTGAGCCAGAAAAGGTAGGAGAGGGTTGAATCATGTGGAGAATAAGGCTGGCTTAAAGCAGACAAGGTAGATAGAAGGGATTTGCATTTCCTTCCTGGTGATGGGGGAAGAGAACACTGCTCAGGCTCTGTAACACTCGTGTTCTGTTAGTTTCAGCCAGTAACACAAAGATTACCGTCCTTTGGTTTAGTCTTTTAGGAACAATATTTCTCCCCCTTTTAAAACCCTCCTCCCTTGCAAATTCTGCATAGTCTGAGAGAATAAAGCTGAACACTAGGTCAGTTCTTTTACTGAGTTTGTTGTTTTCCCACAGCATGGCTAATTTGCATCCTATAGTGCTCAACCCTGGAGGTTTCTGTAACTCCCTCCAGGCTGGTAACTACATCAGTAAGCTGAGAAACACGAACTTCTCAGGAAGTATCACAGCTACCTGCTATGATATAGTTATCTTCTGATAGCTGTTATCTCTCTGCATTGCATCTTCCCACACAAACAGTCCCCAAGGAGTGACAGGAGAAGGTGTCAATCAGCATTAGAGTGATGCAGATGTGGCTTTTGGTGTAGGAACTTTAGGCTTTCTCTGGCATTTCTCAGCTGAGCGAACTTCCTTCTCAATGGTGTCTCGGGGAACATGTTAAGAGGTGAAGTGATCCTGCTCTAAAAGAAGTCGATTTTAGTAGTGCTGGATCAGCTTAGCAGAAAAAAAAAAAGGAACTACTTTGTCTCAGCCTCGTATGCTTGTTGTATATATGCTCATTAACATATAGTAATAAACCATGCACAGGAAACTTACTGTAAATGTTCATTTACTGTAAGTCATTGTCCTAGCGACTTAAAAGTACATAGTGTAATCAGTGAAGGGTCAGGGTAATGTGACTCTGGTCAGTGATGCTGCAGAGCCACCCTGACTCCTCCCCCAGGCTCAGCTGCTGGACTGAAGAGGCAGGGATGGATGCGGGAAGTTTAGTTACCTGTCCCATTGCGAATGCCACGTCCTCACTGGAAATGTTTTCTTGTTTCAGACTTCTTGGCAATGCTCCCGCACCTTCTCAAAATGCTCGCTCTACTGGCGCTAAACCTGCAGCCTCTGTTTTTAACACACCTGTGTCACGCATGTTTCAAGGTGGTGCAGAAGATGACACGGACAGTGAGAAACCCAGGCTCAGTTCCTCTGCTAAGGAGGCCTAAACGTCTCGTCTTACATGGAAAAACCTATGCAAATAAACACTCTGTGCAAGCGCCCTGGCTGTGCGTGGAGACTCTGCTGTGCCTTGGCAATGATTTCTGCAAGAGCTTTGGTCAGCAGGACAGCTGTGCTATGCTAAGGATGGAGTGACATCTGTGAGCTTTCTTCACTACCAACCAGCAGATACCTAACTCGCTGGGAAGTGGGATCTCCGCTCAATGAGAGCAGAATGCAGGAAGGGGTCCTGAACTTACCTTGCTTGGCTTCTAAGTGAAGCCGTCTTGCCTTTGACCCATAATACCCAAATCTTGAAACACGTTAAGTATCTTAATTCCCTCTACCTTCTGCAGAAATTGGGTGCCTAAGTATCCCTTCAATTCTGTGCTTTACTTGCTCCTGCCTAGCATGGATTTGAATCAACAACAGGGCAAAAAAGAACTTCGTATCATGTGGTCGGTTGTCCTTGCTTTGCTACTTGACCTTTTAGCAGATGACGCTGGCATCCCTGCTTCCAGCTGCTTGTTACAGTTCTTGTCAAAATATTAATACAGGACGTGGAATGTGGAGAGTAGGGCTGGGGCATTTGGAAGACCCCAACAATTAATCTCCCTCGTAGCCAGAAGGGGAGCGGCAGATTCATGCAGAAGGTCGGGTCAAAAATTTAGTGTTCCAGTCTGGGCAAGATTCTGTCTTTTACTCCATAAATGGTTTAATATATCTTATGTTACCACCCTAAGGATCAACAACAAATGGTTACGCGGTAGTGATGGATCTCCTGTTAGGAGTGTGGAAAATGACATCTCTTAATAGCTCGAGACTACCTCCTGAGGGAGACCTATTGTACAGATTTAATTGTATTTCTCTCTTAATTCATCAGCTGTTAGTAATTACATCCTGCATTTTTTTCAATGGAAAAAATTAATCTAAACTGGCTATTGAGACTGTACTTAAATAGATCATAGGAGGGAGAGGAGATGACAATGCAAATAGTACAGTCTTGTAAACAACTTTAATTCACTACTTAGCTATTCATTAGTTAAATAACATCTTTAAAAACGGCATTCTGGAAAATGTAGCAGCCACACTGAGAGCAGTGCTGGTCAGATTAGCTTAAAGTAACTCCTCTGGCATCTCAACAATATATAATTTTTAAAGGGTTCAGACAGTAAGCAGTTTAGCTTGTCAACTGACAGTTGAGAGAAGTGCTGACTTCCCCTCCTTGCTAGAAGACGTCAGCCTTACAGTCTGTGCTTTCAAATAATCTCTTAGAAGAGCAGTATTCTTCTTCAGCTTCTATTCTGAACCCTTTTTTTTTTTTAAATCACAACTGCAGTTCCTCTTGCCTCCTTTTCCTCTTTGCACACTCCACAGTTGACCTCTAGTGGTATTGGATCCTCCAGCAGATACCGGGGTTTTCCACATCGCCCTCCTGTGCTATAGCCTCAAGTTACTTGGTCAAAATCCCTGTCCCTCATTCTTCTCTGGGGACAAGTATAAGAAAGGTATTTTGTCTCATTATCCTGTCACAGTGAATGCAAAGGAAAGGCACTCTTTACAATGGCAAGGTAAGGCAGAAAAGTACTTTTTTCATCATCATCGTGTTTCCTCATAAGTGGAGATGGTTTCAGTGGAGAAAACTGGTCAGGTTGACATGGGCAAGGCTTGCTGCCCTGTCCTGGTGTCGTCAGGGGCCATGCACTGGATCTCACGGCTGCCTCTTAGATTGAGGCTTTCACCTTTTCAGACGATGAGTCCTGCAGGAGTGGAGGGAAGAAGCTGCTTTATAGATGGCATTGATTATTTTAAACAGCAGTGTTTTGATTAGGATTAGCTGGATCAATTCAGCCAGGCACAGCTTTTGAATTGTCAGTTGCAAAGGCAACAGTGGTGATCAGGATCTCTGAATCTGCAGATGATCTCCTGTGGTTTTCTGATTGTGACAAACGGATCGGAGCTCAACGTTGCCGAGTTTCTGGCTACTCTTGCCCAATCTCTGGGAGCGTTAGCACTTAGGATGCTTTTTGTTTATGATCATGGGACACGGCATCGTGGCCCATCAGAGCATGCCGGTTACAGATGAAAATTTACAGCCATATTTTGGTGCACATTGTGGGAACATATTTTTAGTCAGCACATCTCAATCTCGGCATTTGATGGGAACCAGTCTTCTTACCCTGTAAGGTGACTGGTGAGGGAAGGTACTCACCTTGTAGAAATATTTTTGCTCCTGATAGCTACTGAAGCTCAGCTTGTTGGGTCATGTGCAACAATCAAAGGCAGCAGCTCTCCACAGCGGGAATTCAGTTTTAAGGATGCAAAGTGATCTAACCTTGTGGGCCCAATGTTAAGGACCGCAATTGGCAGCTGCTTCTCCCGGGCAGCAAGAGCAAACCTGTAACCAGAGTATACCTGCAGGAATACCAGAAGACAAAATTACTGACAGCTTAGGCAAAAGAAGAGCTACAGAAAGGAGTAAGGAAAGGAAAATAGTTGGTGTTGGCAGTGGGAAAAGGGGCTGTATGTACATGCTCTGTTAGGCAACTACACGTAATTCAGGTAGGAAATTCCTTCATTCATTCATTCTCACATGGCCCAGCTTAGGTAGTAAAAGAACGAACCTAAAGCATTTCAAACATTCCTGTACAAAGGATTATAAGCTTAAGAAGTGCAAGCTCAAGGAATTTGTCTCCAGTATCCTGAAGCCAAGAGAATCACAATCGGGCGGCCTTGGTTTTATCTTGTTCTGGGAGGTGTTAGGGGTTTTTTTAGTGTAATAGAACTTGTTCCTGGAAAAATTTCTCTTATACAAACTCTATTCCAAAACCTTCCACAGGTTAAACAACAGGGGGTTGTAAACTATCTTACCTTATAGATAAGAGGCTAATGGAGAAAACACATTGTGATACAAAGGACAATCCTAAGCAGCAACCAGAGATACTTCTGCTCTCTTTTTCGGAATTTAGTTAGGAATTAGAGGTCATAAAATCTGATATTTCACACAGTGCACCATGAGGCCTAGAAAGCTGCCGAAGGCTAAAAAATTCAAGCAAAAAACCGTGGGGTTGTGATCTCTGCAGGACTGAATAGTATCCGGTATCTTGGCTTTATGGGTATCTGTGAGCCTGCAATGTACCGATGGAGGAGGTAGCAGAGCAAGGTCTGACCGTGTGAATGGAGTTATTTACAGCAGCGTGAAGTAGACTGGCAACAGAGTGACAGGGAAGCCCAAACAGGCCAACTGTGAAGCCAGATTCCAACCACAGTAAAAATAAAATACAAGAAGCTCTGGAGGGGCTGTTTTGATCCACAAGCAATTACGAGTCCGAAACTGTGGGACCAAGGATTGTTGCAGGCAGAGTAACACAGAAATAGGAATGCGCCGTGGGAGGAAGCCCTGCTTACCTGCATAGAGGATCCTGCCACCAGCATGGAGTCTGATTCTGCCAGGCGTTGGTGGACAAAATTCACTTTTTCCCGGCTCACCGAATCTCCAAAGAATGTCACGTCAGGCTTCAGGATTCCACCACATTTACGGCAGGCTGGGACTTGGAAATTACGCACCTGCTCATCCGTCAGGAAGACATCCCCATCTGGAGCCACACCGAACGCTTCAGCTTTCCAGGTAGGATTCAGAGCTTCGAAGTGCTCCTGAAGCTCAGAGCGCAAGATTTGGTCTCCACAGGCCAGGCAGAAAACCCTGAAATTCAGAGCAAAGTCTTAATGGAGTTTCACGTCAGCTGAAGATGTGGAGTCTGTAACTTGTTCCTTAGAAGGCCTGGAAGGTCCATTGTCATTATCCACATTTATTTACCAAATAGTACAGGTCAGGGAGCTGTCTTTCTACCTCCGGTTGTTGCTTTGTAGGAATGCTCTAGAGGAAGCGCTTTGAAGCCTACTGTGCATCCTCTCTCCCAGTGCAGGCTGTGCTTTTTGATCTGGAAACTTTGGGTGATCACAGCCAGGCTGCGGTGGTCCCTCTCTGGCCCATGCACTCTGCATTTCTGGCACTCCCCACTCTGCTTAGCCCTGGATAATCCTTGCATCCTCAGGATCCCCTTGTCCTCTTCACTAAGAGGACATTTGCTGTAGCAAGGAAAGGGGGAATTCTGAGTGATGCAGGCTCCAAGGGAAATGATCCAAATAACACTCCAAAAAAATGGAGTGGTGTTCATGTTTCTTGAATACTGTGCTGTGAACAGCGCTGTTTCTTGATCTTTTCCTCCACCCCAGCCCACCAACACCTTTCAGCATGTCATCTGCAGGAACATAGCATCGATATTTTGCCTCCTTTTTCAGCAGCTAACACTGCACCCTGAACGAGAGGCTGGGGGATTAACCATCCTCCCTCTGCCAACAGAGAGTACCTGTGCATGCAGCCGTGCAATTCGGTCATGCGCTGGCTTCCGGCTTTGGTGTGAAGGGCATCCACGTTCTGGGTCACCAGCCAGTGCAGCTTCCCCAGCTTCTCCCAGTCTCTTAGTACCAGGTGTGCGGTGTTTGGCTGGTGGGAGGAGAACTGGGGCCAGCCCACAAAGTTCCTTGCCCAGTACCGCTGCCGGGCACTGGCACTACGAACGAACTCAGCGTGCTGGATGGGCCGTCTGTCGGTCCTGGTGTAGAGCCCGACACCTTCAGAGCGGTAATCTGGGATCCCTGATTCAGTCGAGATTCCAGCTCCCGTCATTACAAACAGCCTCTCGGACTTGGAAACAAAGTGCTGCAGCTCCTCTACTTCCGTGGGATCTGGGGGATGACAGGCTGGCACGAAAGCCAAGTTTGGAGAGGTCCTGGATACAGAATGGGATCTGAAATGATGGGATCTGATGGCTCTGCAAACTCCTGACAACGTCCTCGCAGAGAACATGTTCAGCTAAAAGCCAAGAACAGAACACATGGCAGGTAAAAGAAGGCAAAGAGCATGTCCTTAATTCCATTTTTTGGGGTTTCCCTGGAAAATGATGCCGATAAGTATTCTTTGCTCTTTTTCTTTTTAGTAAAGAAATACAAATTATTTTGGAAATGTTAACTAAAGCCCACCATCCAAGGACAGCGTTTGTATGTCCCTTTCACAGAGGGCAAGACTGAGGACTGCTGGAGCTGCAAGGACAAAGTTAGCACCCCTGACTCGCAGGACTCCTGCTCTCCTATTCTGGCGTGAAGGGTGGCTGCCCAAGAGGACTTCGAGCGAGCCCAGAAAGACCTGAACCTGCACAGTCTTTACCAGGTATGTGCAACGGGGCAGAGAAGAAACGGCAGGGAGGCCAAGCAGCCCACCCCAGAGGCGCTGTACAGCTGGTGTGTCAGGTTCCTCCCCAGAGACCCTTGCTCTGCTTTCTTTAACCTTCTGCCTGCTCCAAATCAGTCCTTTCCATTTGCCCCATCCTTTGCACGTGTTGTGGGAAGGGAGAGTAAAACAGGCTTGAAATGTTGCTCTTTCAAGACAAAGGCCTCGACTGGAGTTACTACTGGTTCTTTTTTATGAAGGCCTGGTGCAGAACAGGCCTTGAAACGGGACTGAAGAGGATTAGGACACTGCCTCAATGCCTCTGGCACCTCCTCCTTTGTGGGTGCCACCTCCCCGGAGTCAGCAGCGAGGTGGAGGGTACTGCTTTGCTCCTCCAGCAGGAACGGGGGCTTTGCTGAGAGCGAAGGGATCACCCAGATGTGGGGGGGGCAGAAACAACTGCCGGGCAGGCAGGAATGGGAGGGATATCCTGCTTTGAGGGAGGAACGGCACGCCCTGTTGGGGACAGGCAGGATGGCTTTGCTGACGAGTAGCCTGGAATTGTGTGCAGGACCTGTTGTGACAGGAGTGGATGGTTTGGACCTTGATTTTGTTTGGTCTTTCTAGCAGTCTGTTGTTCTCCTTTCTCCGTGTCACTATTTTAAAACTATTGTTTTCTGGGCCTCTCTGTGGTTTTGCATAAAAAGTACAAAAAATTTTGAAAGAAACAGTACCGAGAAGGGACTGTCTGGTGTTTCTCCCTCCCACCATCTCCCTTAGCAAGGGGGCTTGTATGAGATCTGGAAGATGGAGGAAGGACTTTAATTACTGATGAAACGGGGTGATCTCTAAAGAGTGACTGCAACAGGCCCCAGATAGCCTGGTGCTTACAGCTTGCTTGGTGATGTGGGACACCTGGATGCAGATTCATGCCCGCTCACACCTCTGCCCTCACCACCAGAAGTTACTGGGAGGCCAGCTAAGGGACTGGGTCTCACTGAGAGTCCTCAGCTGGCTGGAGCAGATCCCTTTCAGGTGCTAGAGGCAGTGGTCCGAGGGAGGGCTCTGTGCAGCTTGTTGGCTGTCAGATGGTTGAAGCATTTTCATAAGCAGTTTCATAAATGGTTTCATAAAAGTTTCGTAAACTTGCAGTGCCTGCAAGATCTGTGGCAGCTCTGAGAAAGAGGTATTCAAGTGGTGAGCTTACTGGTCTAAAAGGCTGGCACCTCAGGGCTTTTGATGACCCGTGCTTTGGTGCCTGGATAGTTTTTAGACTCCTGCTGCGTCTAAATTGCTTTGCCTCACGTCCCCGGCCCCCCTCAAGTACCAGTTCTGACAGTAAATGGCGCAATATTTAAATACGGTTAAGGTTTGGGTGTTCCGCTGTCAGTATCGTGATACTAAATTGATGCTAGTGGCAAAGAGTAGATTTGTCTCAGTTAATCCCCAGTTCTCAAGGCTTTGCGTCGTCATCAGTTGAGTTACAGGGAAGACCGGACTTCCTCCATAGTCTGGATTACTTTTTAAATCTAAGCAGTGGGTTCTGTTCGCAATGATTTTTGCCTCATTTTGCTGTTTAGCAGGAGTTGTGTTGGACGTTCCCTCTGAAGAGGTTTAATTTTCCATACGAATTAATTAGAAGGGACAAAGTCTCCCAATAAACTGTAATTTGCTTGGAGAATAACGTCTGTCATGATGCTCCCTAAAGGCTGTTAAGCCAGTTTGACAGTATTTAAATTGCTTTAACTGATGAAAATTCTCCATTCCTGTCCCTTATCATCAAAAGATCTCTCAGAAGGAAATGTTTTGAGGGGGAATGAAACGGAGATATAATATGGGTTGGCGCACAAGAGAGAGAAGGCAACGGGTAGGCCCAGCATTAAAAATAACATAGATTTGAGAGCCCCTGTGAAGCGCAGAAGTAGGGCAGCGCAGGAGAGAAACCGACAAAGGGCAGAATAGTTCCTGTGAAATGCAAAGCTGCTTTTAAAACGAAAGTGCTCAGATTAAAAAAATAACAGCTACGATACATAAGTGAAACTCTGTAAACGTACCTATTGAGAGCCGAGGCTAGAGTTTGTTTTTAACACGCATCCAAGATGCTCCGCAGAGAGGTCGGACAAGGCAGAAGGTAAACAGGTTTGTACAGATGGTTACAGGCCAGCAATCCAGAGGGACGCCACGTCATGCAAGTCTCTTTTGATGTAATAATAACGGCGGGGGGGGGAGTATTACGAGCGAACCGAACACATCTAACGAAATAAGGGCGATATGGTCAATAATGCCTGAAAACTGACCTTGCGTGGAGCTGCCGTGCCCGGCGGCGGAAGGAAAGGGCTGGCCTGCCGGGAGGGGAGCTTGCTGGGAAGCGTAGTTCACAACGAAACTGAGCACAAAGACTACAATTCCCGTGCTTCAAAGAAGAAAAAACCCGAGTTCCTCAAACCTGATAAAGTCACATTTCAAACCAAGAGCTTCATAGCTGCCCTGAAGGAAATGTGCAAGAATAAAATCAGATTTGATTTGATACAAATGCAAGTAATAGCTTTGATAAAATGTGTTGTAGATGCTTGTCCTTATAAAAGCATGCATTTTCTTTTCACTGATACTAACAGGTTTTAGGCTTAAAATGTGACTAAACAAATAACGGAAGAAAAATCCCCTGAGGGCTGTTGGAGACGTCTCTCCTGGCTCAGGAATTCCCTGAGATGTAAATTGTTGGGGGCTATGAGAGTACGCCGGGCCGAGAGGTTCACCCCGCTCTGGCGCTCTTCCCTTGGTACCTACGTTTGGTCCCAGGAGGGATGGACCTGTCCGGCAGTCCTGATGGGCACAGTTAAGCATGTTTGGGATGACAGGGAAAAGGTCTGGGAGAAAGGTGTGGAAAGGGCCTGTGGCAACAAGAAGGGACAAATAATGAAAATCCGGCCCCTTGCGCTGCAGGTAGCGTGGCCAGATGGAACCCGAGAGGTCTGCGTGGGAGAAGGGATCTCTGTGCAGCTTTCGGGGGAGGCGTGGATGAAAAATGGGAGGGCGGTTGTTCGTTTGCTCCGGCTGGACCTCTCCCAGGGCATAGTCGGACACCCTAAGCCGCTTCAGTAGTAAATCCTTTGCCAGCAAAGGGCTCGTACCAGCCGTGCCGTTCAGCAGCTCCTGCCTGGGCTCAGCCTGTCCCCTGCCTCGCCCGCAAGGGCTCGGTGGGAGGTGGGTTTCTGCCGCCCGGCCCAGCCGACTCCCCGCAACCTGCCCGCTGGCAGGGGGGGCGCAGGGGGGGCTCAGGGAGTGCTGGGGAGCAGGGACCACCTCGCAGCGGGAACTGGCTGGGGGGTCAGCGCAACCCATCTTTGCAGAGCCGCACCAACGACTCCCACCCCTCAGCACCTCGTTGGCAGCAGGGATTTCTTCCAGCGTTTTCCCATTGATCCCGCAGATCCTCCTTTCTCAGCGTGGTGACTGGCTACTGGCGGTGACTTCTTTGAGTCCTTGTGTGAACGTGGCCCGCGGCGCTGGGCAGAGCTGGCCCCGCGCAGCTGGTTGCCGTCCCCGGGGCCGTGCTGACCTGCTGCCCGCCCGGTCCCTGCGGTGCCTCGCTGCAGGCGCCGGTCTCGACCGTCACATGCGAAACCGTAGGAGCTGCCTGGCAGTACCGGGCTGGGTTTGTTCAAAGGAGTCTTGTTTTTTTTGAAGAGCAAATAAATAGGAGGAGGTCCAGGCTGCTGCACGGTAGGGGGGTAGGTGCTCACCTCTTTTACACACAATGGGCTCTTTCTAATAATTTGAACGGCTTTTCAAGTGCATTCTCCAAATAGCTCTTGCTAATTAATTCAAGACACTGCAGGAATTTTTAATCCGTTTTTCTTGCCTTTTACAGTTATTTCAAAGCCCAGAAGAGCCCGAGCCTGTATAAAGGAGCGTGTAATTTTGCCATCAGAAGGAAGACGCGCGTCCCGCTCGCGCGGTGCCAGCCTGCCCGTCCCAGCCGCCCCCGCGCCCGGCGGAGGAGTGGGGCACGACCCCCTTTCTGGCAGTTCCGTGAGTCCGACTGCCCCCGGGGCTGTTAGTGCCTGGTTACGGAGTTTAAACGTGTTTTCATAGAATCGTTAAGGTTGGAAAAGACCCTTGAGGTCATCGAGTCCAACCGT